CAGACCAGGCTGATTAGTCTGCTAGGATGCCATTGACGGATGACTGTCATTATCTCCTCAAACCTGCGTGACATTTCTGCACTGAGGGTGATGATTAAAATCTGAAGAGCAGTTGTATAGAAATCTTGTGATTTGAGAGATTTTTGACATAATAAACCCTTGTGTTCAATATTTTGTTCGAGCAGGATCGACTCCACCGTTCTGCTAATAAAAGCCAGTGTCGGCATTGATATCGGGATTCAGCCAGAGTGTTTTTCTTCGGAGCTCGGTAGATGGGGGAGGGTGGGGTGTCGGGATGTGGCCTCAGATAGCTGTACAAAAAACCGACACAACCCTCTTCGAAAAACCTAGAAACACCAGGGTCATATTCTGGGGTGCTCGCTTCAGTCTCTTCGAGTCTTACAGCTCTCTTCAGCTAAAATCTTTTCTGAGTAAGATTCCCTGTAATCAACACCCTGAAGCCCTGTGCTCACCGTATATCAGACACCTTCCTACGAAAGGGTTTTTGTGTGATCATCGGAATCCACAGCATTTTCCCTGCAGGAAAATAGTTCTTCAGAAGAACTCAAATTGATCCTTGTCATATGGGTCCTTGTTACAGTTAAAGCAATGAGCGAACAAAGCCAGCCAGACGTCGGCACCTTTGCTTAAGTGATCCGCTCTCTGCTGGGGAAGTTGCCTGCCTGTCACTGTCCTTTTTCTTCCCTTTTTGCACTTGCCGATGGGCGAATGTTGAAGGAAAGAGAGCCGATTCCCACATGCTGACAGGCTCGGTTTTAGTGTATCAAACTAGGATGCAAATATTGTACTTCTGTGTTCAAAGTAAACAGTCAGGCCACTTCAGCAGGAAGTCTTTTTGAGTTTGCCTGGCCTGTGTGTGACATCATCATTATCATTGGCTGTGCTGAGAAGCATTCAAAATGCAACTGGTTCCAGTACTCGTTTGTTGCTTTTTAATGCATGTCGGTCTTATCTGTGTCTTACTAGGAGCACCTTTCTGAGTTTCTGGTGTCATATTGCAGTCACTATGAGTTATGGGAACGTGAATATTAATTGACTCACACCGTTTAACATAGCTGAAAAGCAGAACTGTCCAGATGGATTTCTGATTCCTTTTTGTCTTCATGCACATGAGGTGGGATTAGAAGTGTTTTTAGATGGTTCTGCATTCTACTTGCTCAGAAATATCAAAAGTCTGACAGGTATTACCCATAAGTCCTACATCCTGGTCAAACTTAGCTATGCTCCACTGATGAGCCGTAATAAGGACAGAACAGCTGTCCCTTACTGCTGCTAACCTCGACTTTGTCTGAAAAATGGAATTAGAAAGCCGTTTAGACTGTTGTGATTTTCGGCATTGTAAAACTGAGAGTTAATATTCACATTCCCAGATATGCGCAGTTTTCACCCATCTATTCAAATTCATACGTTAGGATTGCAGTGAACTTTTGTTTCACTTAAGACTTATTTTCCGGTAGCTGCTTTGCAGAGTAATAACTCGACTCCTCTCCTCTGGTCTCTGAGCCATGTATAGGGTGTGTTTGCGCTGTTATGTCCTATACTGTCACCACCTACACTTCTATCACAAGAGCTCCTAGAAACAAATTGCTTTGGCAAGGTGGAGTACTTAACCTATAACCACTATGTCTCCACAGTCCTTGTCGCAATGAGTCAGTGGGTTTTCTTTGTAAATGTCGAGTTTGTGTCTAATGCAGACATTTGATTTTTGTATTTAGTTACAACTAGAACAATATGTTTTAATCAGCCAATGTTTATGGAAACCTATATATACATTATGCCTGTTTTGAACTGCATTGAAAAAGTTGTTTGGTAAAAAATTACCAGTGACCTAATTCTAAGGGCTTTGTCAGATGTTTTGACAGCATTCTTTGGTCCTGTTAAATTTCACCTGTTGTACGTTGTAAATGGTAAACAGCTGCAGCTGAAAGACTGAAACAATTAGCTGATTATGTTCTCCCTTTAAAACTGTATTAACTTTGACTTGTAATTTTGTTTTCGATCCCGGCCTTCTGGAACAGCCCTCCTATTGTCCCTTTTAAGTGCTTACAGAAAGCATGTAAAACAGGTGCAGCTTATGAGTACGAGTCAGTGATGGATTGCAAGCACTAGGACTGCTTTTTTATGTGAAGTTCAACCCAGTCTGCTCCGTGGAACTGATTGTCACGTGCACGTCAGGTAAGGGCACCTAGTGATCGTGACCTTACGCAGTTTTGCATGCAGGAGGAGGTCTGTAAGTATGTTAATCCTGAGCTATCAGCCAGTGTTTAAGGAAGCTACCCCTCACTTGGTTATTCTCTGGTAATTGGATATTTGTTAGAAGATGAGGGTCTGGCAGACTAGTGGCTCAGACATTCTATATTAGGGAGTTTTGTCAAGTTAAGCTGCAGTCATGTCTCTGAGCTTGGAGCTCCCAAAGATCAGACAGATGGTTTGGTGTGAACCATGTCCGGCTTCCGCCAGCCACCCACTAACCTTCCTCCTCGCCCCGCATTCAGTGCAGTTTTGATTTTTCTCTTTGTGTCTCCAGATGCCTGGAGGCCGTGATCAGTGCTAATCAATAGTGTTTCACCGCAGACTTAACAAGGTGGTGAAATCAATAGGTCGGGTTGCTTGTATTGATTTGTAACCGCAGTTCGCTGTGCTTTTGAACCACTGTGTGTATCTAAGCGTTTAAAGTTTCATACCCAGCATTGCTTACTTTTTTGGGATTCCTCCTTTAAATTATTATAATTATATCAAAACTGACTTGAACCGATCATAACTGTTCAGGCACCTGAACAAGTTTTTGTAGTAGTACTTAAAAGTACGCACAGTTTACGGCGGTGACAGTGCAGCTTTTATCAGAATGTTTTTCTGATATCAACTGTACCGCATCATCATATCTGGGAACATACATTTCTCAAAAACAAAAACACTCATCTGATGTATTCCAAAGAAAGCAATTTCGTTCCACATCAGTTGTTTTCCTGTTTTTTCTCCTTTTTCTCTTGCTCTCTCATTACCATTAATTGTTGCCTTGACTCTGTTCACTGCTGGGAGTTGTTAATTAGAGAGCATTTTGCGTAATTCTCTGCAAATAGTAGGTAGTTTGGAATTGTTGTTCAGATGGACATGGTGCTAAACAAGACTGGGGCACTTCAGACTAGCAAAAGACATTTCCCCTGCTTTTTATAGTACTCTCTAAAATAAATAGTAAATTACTAAATGGTAGGATGTTTGCTCCAGTTAAAATAATGCCCAGCCACCAAAATGAATACAAGGTTTTGCTCACTTATTGCCAATAATATATGTGTGTCTGTTCTTTACTCATTATATTCTGCATCCAAGCCTGCCAGCCTTCACACCTCATTTGCTGTGCAGAGATTTTTTTTCTGTTTAACCCTGTCCCTGTGTGTTTTTTTGTTTTGAAGTTTTAATGCTTCTAATTCCGGAGAACATAAAATAGTTGCCCAGTGAAGCCTGCTTTGGCAGTATAAACCCTTAACATAAACATAGCAGCCTTGCTCTCTTTTACAGGAAAGGTGACTGAGGCACTACACAGTTTACTGTAGACATTTGGTTGGGCTTTTGTGACTTGGCCCAGAGTCCCATTAAATAATTCCTTTCTTTAATGGGAAGAGGAGCAATTGGTTTCCGGTACGCCTGATGTCCAGGACTGCTCACCTCCAGTTTGTCTCAAATAGTAGCTAGATGAAAGCAATGAGATGGCACCAACTAGCTAAGTATTATTGTGGTTTCTTTTTTCCTGCAAATAATGTATAAAAACGTGTAGAAGGTTATTACTAGTGTATATTAAGGAGTGAATTAAAAAAAGAATTTTAGCACGTTCTGAAAGGAATGTCTTCTGATACAAAGGATTTGCTGCCTTTGCTGTAATTGAAAATCATGACACAAAGCATTCAAGGCCTGCTACCTTGCATGACTGTGTATGATTGTCTTTTAACTGTGAAACACATTACAGTTTTACAAATAAAGCTCATGACTCAAGTTTTCCAGCAGGACTTTTGTAGTGTTTAAGAAAAACAGCCACGGTCCTCATTATAAGCTTTTAACAGTGACATATGGAAACATTTAACATTAATTTAGCTAGGAAGTGAATTAACAGGCAGCATTCTGTCTGGAGAAACTATTCATCTACTACAGTCAGTTTTCAGCAGGTACTGAGTATCCAACAGAAAAAAACACAACGACTATGTCTTTAGTATACTGAGCATTTTTTGTCATTACAGATAACTCTAGTTTATTCATCTCTTGTTGTTTCTGTTTGTTTTTTTTTGCACTTGTAAAACTACGGTTATTTTGGCCATGCAGTAGTTAGTGCTGGTGTTGACTCACGTATTTTGAGTCCCGGGTTCGATTCCACCTTGGTGCGGTCTACGTGCAGTCAGCATGTCTTCCCCTTGGCTGTGTAGGTTTTATCCACCCAGGTGCTGCAGTTTTCTCCCCTTTCCAAAGACATGCTATCTTAGATTGAGTGTGCCCAGCGGTGGACCGGCCTCGTGTCCAGGGTATGAACTGCCTTGTGCCCCTTGTCTGCTGGGCTAGGCAGTCCTGGGCTGAGCTGGTATTGAAAGTGTGTCTCTGAATATACATCTTGGATTACTTCTGTTGTAGGTGTAAGCTCTGTGCATATAGGGCCTTTATAAAACTGTTTGAAACAGTCCAGAGTTGAATTTTTCACTGTGCGTTTTTTGCTCGAGGCCTTCAAATTACCGCTGCCATGTGCGCTTCATCTGCTGCAGTGTACCTCCCCGGCACCCCCCCACCCATGAGGCACGATGGGAATTTTTGGTTGTTTCTTTTAATTTCTCCTGCAACAAAAAGGGCCTAAGGGTGATTCGTGGACAAGAATCCAGTCAGTTACAGCAACCGCCTTGAACATATGGCGTAGTGATACGTATTCCACACAGCTTTAGGCTCCCTTGCATTCCCGGAGATAGGTGTTGTATTACTGTACTCTTTGTGTTTTCTTTTTTCAGTCCAGCCTTCGGTCAGACATGCCGCTGGCCAGTCCTGGACCGGTGTCGTCTTCAGCGAAGCCTGGGACTCCGTTTTACTTCTCTGCTTCAAACCCCCGAAGACGGCCTCTGCAGGACTCCGCCCCTCTAGGTCAGTGGTCATTCGAGGGGGCTGACAGGCTGGCAGGTGACAGGAGGATCGAAAACACGCTGAATTCTGCCTCAACGTTCTCCATTTCTTTTTGGAGCTGGAAAACAGACAGACTAATAATAATAATAATAATAATTGCTTACACTTACATAGCGCTTTTCTGGACATTCCACTCAAAGTGCTTTACAGGTAATGGGGACTCCCCTCCACCACCACCAATGTGTATTATAATGTGTATAAGCTGTAGTGAATGGTGAATTAATTGATACGTATATAACGACTCTCGACTAAATTGTGACAAGTGAAACATCTCCTGGATTTATGACTCTGTCAGCCAGGAATTAACAAACAATAACCTTGCACATCCGTCAGATGTAGCATTAGTCATCTTTAATTAAAACAACCGTCCTTCTCGAATTTAAAAACCCTGTTTGGAAGTGCTCTCGCCAGCCTCCTCTGTTATTCTGAATGGTTTTCTTCTTCTTCTCTGTCATCAATTTGCTTGAACTGGTTGTTTTCGGTTTCTAGGCGCTTAGGAGATCTCTAGATAGAGCTGTACAGACATTGAAGGGCAGACACAGTGTAGATGCCCCAATACGGAGGCTTTTTGACAAGTTCAGAATGGTGCACAGAATTAAAGTACTGAAATTAGACTTCAGTATTCAGCTCTGTAACATGGTGGCTCTAATGTAACTGATGAAGATCAGCTGAAACATTGGTGTTAAACAGTCCAATGGGTTTTTTCCGATGGGAAAAATAAAGTAGAAAAGGGTAGCAGCAGGCATGTGCTGTTGTGGTGTTCCCAGTGTCTATCCGATCGTTTCTTCAGACCCACCCAGAAAGCTGTACACGGGTTTGTGCCGAAGGCTTCGTCTTGCTCACCTGTCTTTCATGCTTGCCTTCCTGAATGCTCTTTATCTCTCCGCAGATCCCCTACAAACAAAGAAAGTGAGGAAGGTCCCTCCTGGATTGCCTTCATCTGTGAGTTGAGGTTTACTTTCTCTGTCTGCTTGTGATAAATAGATCTGGGTCATGCCACACAGCCGAGGCTGTTGGTATCAGTGCCACAAACTAAACTCGGTTTTTGCTTTTCCTGTTCAATAACACTTTGGAAAACACTCGCGCGTGTCGCCTGTGCAGATAAAGGGCTGCTCCTCGTGCACTGCCCTTGATTCGATCATAAACGCTGTTGGTTTTTTACACACGGCAGTGAGTGATTTGTGAGCTGGCTGATACACTGTGGCCTCTTCGATACCTCTCTTGGGAGGAGAGCTGGGACAGCAACTGTCAAAGAAGATCTCCAGTACAGGTCTTTTGATGTTTAATTAGTCATTATGTTGCTGAACAGGAGGACAGACAGAGATTAATAGCTCTGAATCTTAGAAATTTACATTTGTAATAATCCCAGTGGAGCTGAAGACATTAAGATTCGGTGGAAGTGTGGAGCTCAGCTTGCTTTGCTAGGGCTGGGGTTATTAATATGCATATATCACTAAGTCAGATTTTCTTTGTGAAGCCCTGCTGGATTTTTAAAGCCTTTATTAAGCCATTCCTAACTTCAGCCCAGCACTAGAAAAAGCTTAAAAGCAACTAGTTTGTAGATCCCTCTTGCTTGAAAATGTATCCCCTGGGAATAAAGGGCTTTGATGAAAAAACGCTGGAAGGGAGTTTGCTAAGGGGAACAAAATCACTATTGGCTGTGATAATCTGGTACTCTTGCAGTGTTCTTCTTGCAGAATTAAATGTGCTTTATTCTTTAAAAGGAGTAAAACTGTTTAGAAACGAGTCTGGATTTGCAAACTTACATCACTGGGAGGGAGAGGGAGGAAATAGGAAGAATAAAACTGGCATAGCAAGGGAGAAGTGCAAGATTTTATTCCCCCCCAAAAAAAAACAACAAGCAAGTAAGGAAAGAGAGAGACGGGGAGATAGAGGGAGAGAATGAGAGCGAGCCTGGTTGCCGTGCGGGGTACATCTCTTTGTTGTGTAAATGGATGTAGGGCTTTTATTTGTCAGTACTTAACACATGGGCGCAGGTGCACTGGGATGAGTCATAACTCAAAGCAGTATAATGCTGAATGGAACAAAGTGCATTGGCAGCAGTGACGGAGGGAATCGGATGGGTTTTTTTTAATTCTCTTTTAAGTCTGGGTAAAGCAGAAGTGCATCTTGCAGGAATTTCTCCCCATCTCTCGGTCTCCCCCAGTAAAAAAAAAAAGCTGCAGACGTTGCGATCGGAAACGGGCAATGGCGCGGCTCTCCAGATGCAGATGAAGCGTTTCTCTTTGCCTGGGGCAGCTGTGCTCAGAACCTGCAGCCTACCTGGGAGCGGGATTGCAGCTGCAGGCACTCTTGAAAGCTTTTGCTTGCATAAGCACTTGGGCCCCACTAGAGGCTGAATAGCTGCTTGATAAACAAAATGAACACAATGCCTCCAATCATTATTCCCCAGGCCAGGAATATTTTTTTCCTGTAGCTAAAAATAGTTTGGTAATTTACATTTTAACAGTTGTACATTATGCAGTGGCGGATTTAAAGCTCGGTTATAGGTAGTTCCTGCCAGATTAACAAAACTATAAATGTGTAAAAAGGGGGACCCATAGTCTGCATTTCCTTATCTTGGAAATGTCGTTTTCACATGCATACGCCATTTTTTTCCAAGTTAATGTGTATGTATGAGCATTTTCCCCCCTCTAATTTTATTTTTTTTTACAAATGATAACTACATGAAGATGTACACGTGGGGGATAGGATTCTTTCTGGAGGCTTGATGTGGGAAAGAGGAAATCCGGGTTTTCTTTTCAGCCGTAGGATCTCTTGCTGTGGGGGGATTGCTGGCTGTTGCTCAGGCTGTGACAGGATAAAAAATCAGACTGACGCGTGAGGAGCGGCCGTACTGGCAGCTTGAACCTGAGATATGGCCTTGATGATTGATGATCCTGCCTGCTCTGTAATATTGCATCTTGCCAGCGAGAGCTGGACGCCTGGGCACATGGGGAGAGCGATGGGGCTGCGGAGAGCTCACCCCACAGGTGTATCCAAACCACACCTCAAGGCAGACCAGTAGCTCTTGAAATCACCCGGAAAACGTCTGGCCTGCTCCCCAGTTCTCCCGCTTGGCACTTATTGTCGCTCTTTGAAGGCAGTCTTGACTAGTTTGTGGAAGTCTACGTGATCTCCTGAACATGTGTTGATCAATGTCTCACTCTCAGGTAAAGGCATATGTTCGGAGTAATAAAATACTACAGTCAAGTGTCATTTTAAAAGATGCATTATTTCGGAGAAATGCAGGGGCTCCCCAGGTTATGTAACGCTCTACTGTACGTAAAACCTCAGTCAATTTTAAAAATCCGATCGTCGGAAATTATTACAGATATGCCGACATAAATGGGAACTACTCGCAGTAGCATGCAGCTTCCTTAAATAGCGCTTCCTTAAATAACTTCCACTAATATTCCATGAGCTATTTTTATTGCTGCCGAGTCTGTTAAATCCATGATTTTCATTTTATTGCAGATTACAGTGTACTCGTTACATTAAAAATGTGATCTTGTGAGCGTTGCAGTGCAAAGAATAGGACAGGATAGGAACTCAGTACTTTCCAAGAACAAAATAGCAAGGATGTACAATTAAAATCCGTCTTGTGGAATGTTTTCCTGAAAAGAGCTCCTTCTTAAGTTGGGAGCAGCCTGTACACGTTTTACTTAGCTGTACTTTTTGTTAATAACTTATGTGGCTGTTCGATTTGATGTCCACCCATTTCTGGAGTCCCGATGTTGTGTGTTTTGGCACACAGAGACAACCACTGCAGCCTCGCAGGGTGAGCGAGGAGCGGGCACGGGCTCCCCGCCTGACAACACATTCGTCTGCAGACGTGGTCCCCGCTCCCCGCTGGTGTCCGAGGGCAGCCCCTCCCCTCTCTCTCCACGGGCTGGCCAGCGCCCGGCACGCGCCTGGGCGCCCAGTGGCGCCGGGAGCCGACAGTGCCCAGCCCCACTAATCCCAGCCCTTCCCTGGGCGGCACTCTGCTAGCTGTGCCCGGTCTGCGCAGGGAATCCCAGTCGCGCACTCGTGACGAGAGCCAGCCTGAAACGTGAGCCGTCGGGGTCACAGGTCGCCAGCTCCTTCTTGCGGAAAAGCTGATTAGTGGTTCGGAGTTGGCCTTTCTAATAAAAATCCCACTGGGAGCTAAGATAGTGTCTGTACAAAACACAAACACATACGAAAATTGCAAATGAAAGGGGGGCCATTTGGCCCATCTATCTAGTGTTATTGTTAGTAGCTAATTTATCCATAACTCTCGTATAGCTATTTCTTGCAAGGAGACAGGGTTTCGGCTTCAGTATCCTGTCTGGGTAGCTTGTTCAACATTCCCATTACCCTCTGTGCCTTTGCATAAAAAAAAGATTCCCTCCTTTCTCACGCACCTACTAAGTTTTCATAGGCGCACAATATAAGCCTTCCCGAATTAACAAATCAGTTTCATTTTTTAAAAGAAACTGTGGGAAAGGCTGTACTTCTGAGGTTCTCTTTAGGTAATTAAGTTAAACATAAGAGACAGTGCCACCTAGAGGTCAGGGATAGTTAAAGGCTTGCCTTTGACCAAGGGTACTCCAGCTGGAGCCACTGCAGAATCCTGATTGCTTCATTAATTGACCCTGTTGCTGTGAATTCCTTATCTACCGAAGGATCAACTGGAATAATGACTTGCAGTGGAATTCCTGAAGACCTAGTTTTGCCCATCAGACCAGTAACTAATGCTTCCCAATATTTGCCTCCCAGCCATGCAAATACAGCCCAGGTTACCAGCTGCCTGCATCCATGCCACATCTGTATCTTGAATTGCCTAAGGGACATCATTTATTGTGCCCCTTTGAGCAAACAAATATATAGAAAAAAAATAGCTGGAAAAATTGGAACCTTTGGCTAGTAGTCTTTTCAAGCTTGCAGACTATAAAGCTCTCTGATGTCCTGTGATCAAAACGGAGTTTGGTTCTGTTTTCTAGATGTGCCCTTCGGTTAGACAGTAACACTCTACTTTCTACTTTCACAGAAGAGCAGGAACACTACAGACTTTGCTGTATGGGAAGGTATTATGAGCTCTAGTGTTGGAGTGGCATTTGACAAGGGAAACCAGGACAGCTACAGCTCTTGGGGTCCTCAGGTGTGCTGTGCTGAAAGGTAGAGGTTTAAAGTAGCTTGTGTTGTGGGTGTGGCTTGGCTTGGCATAACTGCAGTGCTGGATGGGACTCGGACTGTATAAAACAAATATTCTGTTCCCCTTGAGGCAGCACGGCGTGCTGGAGCCCTGCCTGTGAATGACAAAAAGATTGTCGTTTGGGTTTGACGGATCATTCCAGCAACATTCCAGTTCAATTGAGAGAGAGTCACCCTGTGCAAAAAGAACTGGACAACACAAGGAGATGCTTGGTCTGCTATGAGCTTTCTTTTAACAGCTTGGGCATCCTACACTGTGAAGTATCTGCGCAGTGGGTTCTGAGATGTAAAAGTGGATGGACATTGTTAAAAAGCAAACATTGTTAAACAGTGGCCTTAGTTAAGCAGCTGTAGTTCATCAGGGTTTTGCCTATAGAGCCATCTACAGGCAGAGCACGGATATAAGGCGAGTAAATATTTCTCTTTTTTCTTTGAACTTCAGAATCTAATGCAAGGTCAGGAACTTGCTTAGAGCACCTCTTGTGAAGTGACATTCAGCAGTAGGAAACGCATAACAATACCTTTGTAGTTAAGTGTCAGGAGATGGAGTTTTGATGCAGTTCTTTCAAATAGACATTTCTCTTTGTTCGTAAAGATCTTCTCTTTCACTGAGCTTACAATTTGTACACTTGACAAGTTCTTCATTAAAAACACACACATACAAAATAACTTTGAAAATAAAGCACTGAGGTAATTCACAAGAGTCAAACACAAAGGTTCTTTAAAAAATAGATTAAAAATAGTAAAGAATAAAGTATTTCTAT